GGGTTTGAGGTCTAATAGACCTTAACCAAGGTGTTCTCATGTGAGAACACCCTGGTTAAAGTTTGTTCGGCCTCAAATGGTCGAAGTTGAGTCAGATTTGGGTCAGTTTGGTTTAAACATTTTTCGGTAAGTTTTTTCTTTTCCTTTTTGTTTTATTCAACTGATAATTAAGTTGTCAGCATGCTTTGTTGTGATTGTTTGTTATTTTCTGATACTTTTCTTAATTTCTTCCGTCCTTGTAAAGACCTTTTATTTGGTCGATTGTTTTCTGTTTGTTTTGAACGTATCCTGTGATATACATGTTCGATTAGGATAGTCGTCGCATAAATAACTTATATAGGTTCCCAGTGATTGACCAAAGTTGTCCGAATCCCTTTAGATCCCTGTATGTATTTGTTTATATGAACGATTGATTATTACCTGTTGTATTTAGTATAGTCGACTCGCTAAACATCGTCGATTAGTTTTCTATAACTAAATGGTCAAATGAACTAATAATGTCACATAACTGATTGAACCATGTCACTAACTGAATGCCCGACATTGTTTGAAATGGGTTTGTTTGCATTGCAAAACGACTGAAAGATTCAGTCCATGGGCAGTTCTGAATTTGAACTTTCAGAAGTTCAAAATACCCTGATGCTACAATGGGTTTAGGGCAGTAATAGTCAGGGTTTAACAGGGGTAGTCTGGGGTTTGAAAAGAACAGAAAAGCTTAGTTTAAATGAGCTGACAAGTAGGGTACTAAATTAGGATTAAACTAATACAAATGGGGAACAAGACACAAGAGTATGGGGTTTTAAATGAATACTTAAATGAACCCATAACTCTTGATTAAAGAATAAGGCCAAGCGTGGGGAACAAATGGCTGGCATCAAAAAGATGCTTAGGCATGGGATTTAAGAGATATGGGCAGTCTGCAAATTGGCGGAATCCAGACAGCTTGACTGCACTAGTTGCTTGGCTTATAAATAGGCCATTTCAGAACTTAAAAGGGGCTGGAAATTTTAGTCTTGAGAGAGGTTTTTTGGTGAGTTAAAGGAAACTGAAAAATATAAGGAAATTTCCAGAAATACTGTAACAAAACACTGTCTGAAAACTGCAGAAGAATTCACATTGGTCAAGCTGTCTTGGCCAAGTTCTGTTGTTTGCCCTGATTGAGCTGTTTGTGATTGTTGAACTGCTGGTGTTGCTGCATCGAATACTCTGATTATTTCTGTTGTTTCACTACTCTTTTCTGGGATTGCTTGTTTGGTGCTCGACCATCTGTTGGTTTTCTTTGTCCTGGAAACTGTTGCTGGTTGTCTGTGGATTGTGGAAAACACTTGTGGTTGTTGGTTTGTTGTTGTGTTGTTGCTGTGTATCTGCTATTGCTGTGTTTATTGCATACTACCCAGCTGATCATTCCTTTCATCTTTTGTTCTCCATACCAGGTACACAACCAATACACTGTCAAATGTAATTGGAAAATTGAGCATGAATACAAAAAGAAAAGACCTGAAGTTGACTTTCATACATAGATTGTTACATTAGATATCATGTACTGTATAATAATTTTCATTCCTGTGTTGACATTAGAAGTAGCCTGTATGCCCAGTGTATATCAATGTAGATTAGCTGAACGATAGTTTATATATGTATGCAGATAGGTGAAAATATTCCCAATGTAATAGGTTGTATCTTAGACTTAGTTTAACTTTGTAGTACGTCCTTTAATGTAGGCCAAGCATGAAAATCGTACACTACTAGTTAAGTTCTTTCCTTTCTGATAAACTGCTTCATATAACTGGTAAACCATGTTTTAAGACAAAGAACACAGAGTCTGCAATCTCAACCTCACGAAGGCCGAGCCCAGGTCGAAACAGACCAAGCAGGCCTGCATCGAACAAACAATGGCCCAGGTCTGGTCCATCACGCATGGGCTGGATTTGGGCCCTTAATTTTTGCTCGGCCGACTGTGTACGTGGCCGTGCTTCTGATTTTGTGCAAGCACTCGGAATTCTGTATAGATAACTTGCAAGCATGTAATTAACTAGGGCTATCTACTGTTTTCAATTAGTAGAGACAAACGCAACAAGAAACGTAGTTGCTATAGGATATCCTTTTAAAATAAGGACGCGATGAGCCTCGACAAAAATAAAGAAAAAAATGCACAAATTGCGGGGCCCTCGTTAAATGTATATATATTGAAGCATTCAGTCCCTAAAGTGGGTCATTTAGCAAATCTCACGACCTCCCGGAATAATAACGCGATAGCCTCTTTAAGTGCGTATTTAATAATTTTACCTTCTTAAATTCGGGTGCGCATTTATGTGACCCAAATCCAAATCTCGACGGATTCGAAATGTGTTTCTAATCACGGGTACATTGATTGTGACGTGGTTCGAGATGCATGTCCATGACGTCGCAAATTCCTTTTAAAAGTAGAACGAGACGAGCCTCGACAAACAAAATGTACACAGCTGCGGGGCCCTCTAGATGTATGTATATAGCAAAGTATTTAGAACTCGGGACATGCCGTTTAGCTAATTTTATGGCCTTCCCCAAAATAACAAGACGCTAGTTGCGTTAGGCACGCTTTTAATAATTTATCTTCCTAAACTCGGGTGCACATTTATGTGACTCAAATCCCAATCCCAACAGAGTTGAAATGTAGCTCTAACCACGAGTACATTGATTGTAACGTGGTTCGAGATGTGTTTTCACGATGTTGCAATTCTTGATAAAAATAACAGTAAAGGATAAAATCGGTCAAAAGTTTAAAACTTGCACATAGGTTTAACATGTACAAAATCAGATAGTCAGGCCAAATATAACAGTTGAGCGACCGTGCTAGAACCACGGAACTCGGGAATGCCTAACACCTTCTCCCGGGTTAACAGAATTCCTTATCCGGATTTCTGGT